TTTGGGAGTCCTTTCTCCTGTTGTTAAATCATAGTCCTCTTCCCTTTGATGTCCAATCTCATTGCTCCATCTCGACGTAACGCCATACCCACTTCTCTGTAGCCTATAAATTTGCGTGCAATACAATCAGAAGAATAGAAGCCCCCTTCTCCCCTTAACAGCCATTGTGCTCTTTTGTCGTCAGTTTAACGTTCCCCGTCAGCCATTATCTGTGTGTAGATAGTGATCAACAACAGCTAAATCTACTTCTCTTTAGCCTTTCATCCTGCGTGTTATTCCATCACGAGAAACGAAGCATCTCTCCACCATAACGGTCGTTAACTTAGCCAGGAAATGTTCCTTCGGCGCCCAAAGTACATTCTAATACACAATATACCTTCGTCACATGGAGAACATTATCTGTGATGTCCTGCGGCTAAATCTACCACCTTGTCAGTATCTACGCACGGGATGATTTTCCGATAGATTGGATGGATCTTTATGTTTTTTTACGTTTGTTGCCCTCAGGCCCTGCGTAGGATAATTGTCGGATATGAGAAAGCGTATGATATCACGAATTGGTTAGACTGTGTCCGCTTCCACCGTCCTTGGTTGCAGGGAAAACGTCCTTGGTTGCACTTCTGTATCTGTATCTATATAGCCGGTATAACCGCCTTTCGACGCAACACACCAACTTCGCAGGCATGCACGCGGCGCGACGGCAGCTGGCTACATTACACCGATCGACTTGTTACACCTAACCCTTGAACATTTAAAAGCAGAAAACAAACAAGTCTGCATCTGGATTTGTCAACCTTTAAAAATAAAATGCTTTTCGGCAAAACACAACCTGAGCACGGCTGGGCCGCACGCAACAACAAAAAATACCGAAGGTTCCAAACCCGGCTTGGCATCGGACTGTAAGGGATTGCATCCCTCCCTTCGGATGGGGACGTAAATTCGATAGCCCCTTGTGCTGTTCAGACCTTCAGGTATCAAACCTCATGTATAGAGAAGAGAAGGATTGACCCGGTGTGCTTGGTTGAAAAGTGAACTTAAGCCAAATCCCCAAAGCACTACTGCTAGCTGCAGCTGCTTGAAAAAGCAGCATGCGGCATGCTTCACTGCAGTCGAGTATGACTATTGCCCCTTTGCCTTCTATGGTATACCGCCGCTTGACCCATTCATATCATCCCAAAGGAAAAAAGCTACCTCTGTTAACGTATCTGAATGAGTATTGTAACGCCAACAGTTCTTATTGCATATTGTATGTTGCCCAGTTACCAAGGCTAACCCTTTAAAATAGCATCCTGGCTGTATGTAATTTTATACAGCCTAATAAATCAAATCAAATCAAACCGATATCATGATGGACTGCTGAGCCCTAACAGGGACTTCCCGATATCTTGAATAACATTTACGAGAGGTTACACCAGAACATCGGCCCAAATACAGAGATGGCATCTCTTAACCAGAGGAAGAATCGTACCATACCACTAATTTCTAAAGCTGTTTTGCCCTAATCCTTTAAAAGTGACGGTACGGTTGGTCTTAGATCATCGTACGATTTTGATGCGGTAGAATTTTTAAGCAGACTGTGATAGAACCAACAGCCAACAATGATCTTTATAGACAGTTTTTTCCTTAACAAGACAGTTGGATTTTTCATGATACATGCGCAAATGCCCCAAGAAACGTTTGCGATCGCCACGACTCACTAGAATGTGACTAATCTCCAAGAAGATTCTGTGGAGCAAGGGGGTCTATATTGGCCGCCTGAATCCATTGGCCTCCTTTAACCACTGACCGTCCAAGCAGATTCTGTGGGTCACGGGGGGTCTATATTGGCCACTTGAATCCATTGGCCTCAAGTAACAATTGTCCGTCCAAGCAGATTCTGTGGGTCACGGGAAGTCTATATTGGCCACCTGAATTCATTGGCCTCCTGTGACCATTGGCTATCCCACGGGGGAGGGGGGGGGGCGGCCAATGGCAATGGTCTTGGGGGTTAAGGGGTGATGATTCTGCTACACTGTAGTATTTTTGGACCATCGCACACCGGGGCATGCACCTACTCTTTTTCGAAAGGTGTGGTGGGATCTTTAACGTGCTCGAGGTGTGGCTCTCCTCAAACACGGGGCCTCCAGTTTAAGTCCTATCCGAAGGACGTCCTTGACCGAAGCTAGGTACTCATTTACACCTGAGTGAAGTGAGGAAATTCGTGTTAAGTGCCTTTCCCAAGGGCACAAGATCGGTGACATGGGTGGGGATCGAACCCTGGACCTCTAGGTCCCGAGCCGAACGCACTACCGTTGCACCACACGACTCCAACATTGTTACAGGAGAACAATATAGACTCCCCTTGCCCCACAGAATCTGCTTGGAGATTATTATGTGACTGGTCCTGACCCACACTGGATGGCAAATACATGCACGCCGCCGGCGTCTGAAAGATCAAACGCGAAACACTGCCCGAATAGAAATAAATAGCAGCGGGAAGTTAAGTTTTAGAAAGCGCAGCACGCCGCAGCTACTATCTCTATGTATCAACTATGCCATCTATGTACGGATCACCCGTTACAGGAGAGAAGGTGGTGATTTCAATTTCAAAGAGACTGAAAATTAGATGCCTACGATGGTAGCTCAATACATGATTCCTATCATCTACATACTACTGATGATTGTAGAAGGGTGTTATTACATGTAGGTGATAATATATATTACGTGCTTATATAGGCCACTGCCTACTTTCATCTCTAAACTCCCAACACTCTCTCGTTTGCAGCTGCTTGAGTGGAAAAATGGTTGTCAGATCATCTGTGGTGACCCAACTGTCGAACAATTAGAAAATATAATTCACTATTAAATTGAGGTATAGAAGAAAATGGCGAAGAGCAGAGTGAGATATGATGGCGGAGTTAGTTGCATTAGAGACTAAGGGCACCCTAAAGGTCGAGGTCTTGCCTTCCCTAGGCCCCTATTACCGACTGCCCGTCTCATACGGGCTTAAGTCAAGTGCTGGCACCTTGATCCTCTTATTACGACTTGACAGGCAGCGGGGGCCGACTGATCTATTCGCTGTCCATCCAGGGCAATTTCAGGGTTGCAAAACAGCAAAAGAAATCTGCGTTAGGAAACCTGGCTGGTGTTGACATCTACTGCAGCTTCTTAGCACATTTTCTTTATCATTTCATACTTGAAGCGTTTGAAATAGACAAGAAACAACTAAGCTATGTGAGGAGTCCCTTAATTTTCTGGTACCACAAATAGACCGCTAGAGCTAGCCTAAGAGACGAAGCAAGTAACCACGGCATCGCATTTTTGCCTATCAGGTATCAGTATGCTATAACTTGTGTTAGGCTAGGGATGATTCAGCGGGTTATTATGTCAGAAAAAATGACCCAAAAATTGACTTTGAACATCCAGTTTTCCTGTCCCGAAATCGCTTTGGGCGACTTAAACGTTTTGACATGGAGTTCAGTCCCTCCTTCACATCTTCTATCTTCCACTCTATTTCCTGTATCCAATTAGTTCTGCTGCTCACTACTCACCGGAACCGTGTCTCTTTCATTAAACATGCCGGTTTATTTCCAATGATTTCTTTGATATGATCAAATTACCAGCAGATGTCCAGTGGATCAGACGCCCACTGGAGTATCTAGGGGGTTCTGAGAATCTAAGATCAAATCTTTGTCAATGTAAATGGGTGTCACGATGCCTATTATAATCACGCAGGCTCGGTGATCTGGAAAATTGTGACTTTGGGGAATCGTGTGCGTAGCTGCACGACTGGTTATCACGACTGAATGATATTATAACATGATCTAACATGACAGAAGTGGTCATTAAACTTAATACTGCGAAAGCTGATGTTCTACAAAATGGCAAGTACTTAGATAAAACTTAAAAAGGGTCAAAGGCCCCGAAAGTATCACTCTAGACGAGCAGCCCGGATGAAAACAATCTAGAAATGCTTTTATAAAAGCTGACCAGGGGCCAAGATAGGAAGAGCTGTGTGATGGAGCGTGATGTGTGACTCAAGTAATTGGTCACCTTGGGTACTTGGAAATTGGACCAATGTTTGCAGGAAAATGTTGAAATAGGGTAAAATCAGAAGTTCTAGATAGGCAGGGCGCATGGAATGGGCATAACAAGGGGCCTGAGCCCAGATGCAAATTACGTCTTTTTATTGTCTATAATAATGGTGCAATTTTTTTTCAGAGCAAATCACCTATTGGTAAACATTGCGATATCAGACCTAAAGAGTCCACGATCCAAACACAACAAATCTGTTGTCTACAGCAATGCCAAAACTTGCTGTTTGTTTTCCAGAGCGAATCGGCTCCTGGTAAACCTGGTGATATCGGACCTGATGACCGCCTTGCTGTGCGTCCCGTTCAACATCGACTACTACGTGGTTTAGAGAGCAAAAACCTGGGCCCAAAACACTTGTCCATAATATACTGATACCAGATAATGATTTCTATCTTACAGGGCGAATCGGCTGCTGGTAAACCTGGTGATATCAGACCTGATGACCGCCTTGCTGTGCGTCCCGTTTAACATTGACTACCACGTGGTTTACAGCAAAGACCTTGCAAGGTCCACAGCCCGAGGATACTTTCTTTTGTCTAAAATGTCAGTATTTTCTTCCAGGGCGAATCGCCTGCTGGTAAACCTGGTGATATCGGACCTGATGACCGCCTTGCTGTGCGTCCCGTTCAACATTGACTACTACGTGGTTTAGAGCAAAGACCCCAGAAGGTCCACAGCCCCCAAATACTTTCTTTTGTTGTCTACAGCAATGCCAAAACTTGCAGTTTGTTTTCCAGAGCGAATCGGCTGCTGGTAAACCTGGTGATATCGGACCTGATGACCGCCTTGCTGTGCATCCCGTTCAACATTGACTACCACGTGGTTTAGAGCAAAGACCCAAGAAGGTCCACGACCCAAAATACCTTTCTGTTGCCTATAATGCCAGTATTTTCTATATAATAACGTTGGAATTTTCTTTCTTTCAGAGCGAACCGTTTGCTAGTAAACCTGGTGATATCGGACCTGATGACCGCCTTGCTGTGCGTCCCGTTCAACATCGACTACTACGTGGTTCGGAGCGAAGACTGGGTCTTCGGAACGGAGATGTGCGGCGCCGTCAACTACATCAAGACCGTGAGCCTCTACGTCTCCACCAACACGCTGGTTGCCATGGCGATAGACAGGTGGGTGAACTTTGACCTGTTGTTGGAATCTTTAATGCTACATCTCTGTAGCTATCTTCGTCTTTATTTTAACTTTGCCCCTCTCCAACCTTTTTTTTTTGTTCTCCTGCTAAGGCAGATGTTCCCTTGGATGTAAAAAAACTGCTACTTATTTGCCCAGAGGATCTCCATGGAAGCTCATTATATATCGAAAGCCTTTGAAGTGGATAGGTTGGAATATCAGACCAAGACATGCCTTTAAAAAAAGCTTACCGGGGGCCAAGATGGGAATAGTCAGTTGTGATGACGATGTGTGACTCAAATAATTGGTCAACTTCTTGACTTAAATTGGACTAATACTAAAAAGACTGGTCTTAGATGTACAATTGTAATGTATCATGATTTAGAGTTCTTTCTAAAGGAATAGTTTATTAGCGCTTGCGCGTGGTAAAAAATTGCGTCAGTTCTTGTTCCAATCGGCCAGTCTATCCCTCCTGATATCTGGTTAGGTTTCATTGATATTCTATCCGACACCCAACCACCAAAGTGATACCCAGCGCAATGCCACTAGCCCTTTGGCCCCTAGCAAAAGCTCTCAGAAGAGTCTTGTACATCCGGTCTCGCCCTAGGCCCTCTGAGGGGTGAAGATAACCAAGATAGCTTCCATTTCCTCAATATTCTGCCGTGTTCTTGACTCCAGCGAACCGACTGGAAGTGCCAGGTACCGCCTCCAAACACCACGTCTACCTGCTGTATCATCTACACAAGTTATTTACGACTCACTTTACTTAGGAATACTTCCTGCCAATATTTGAAAGACGCAATTTCACTGTCATTTCCTCAACCTGCTTCCAGGTACGGAAGTGTCTGAGGTGGGCTTAGTTGGCCCTACAGGCCTACTTGCCACCTCTAGCCACCACTTCTTTCTTCCCGCTGACATTATTTATGAGACACTTTGCTTTCCAGCGATATTGGAAAAACATAATCCACTGTTTTTACGACCCCATATAGACGCCGAGTGAGAGTTAGCTGGTAGGTACTGTTGACGGATGAAGGTTCAATGCCTTACAATATACCCAAACGCGTTTCAGGAAAACATTGCCAACATTTGATGTATCTCCGGTCATGTACGTACATTCTAAAATAAATCGTCCTATGAACGTGCTTAGCAGAAAGGTTATGACGTTTAGGAAAAAAAAAACATGACGCCTTCTTTGGAAGAATATTGGCGTCTACCCGAGGCAAGCGGTGTCGCAACTACTGTGTAGGCTGAGAAAAAGCTTCTTTTGGTAGGAGGAAATTTATAGACCTCTCGGGGCACCTGGTCTGGACGTCTCCGTTGCTGCCAAGTTGTTTACGCGTAAATTTGAACGAATGCATGACGTGGGAATTATAATTCAGCCAAGGGGAACATACTACTGGCCAAATATGGCAATGCGTAGATTTGGTTTCTGCGTATCCTGTTTAGTTCAAAGCTTTAGGTGTGTAATGGGATTGAATTCATGAATGAAGTGATTCTACGGAGAGGGTTGACATCTCTCGCCCTCTGTGTCCTTACACGACCCTATACAAACATGCAAGCACCTCGGCTGAACGTGTTGCGCCTGCGCAAATCCAGGATATTTTCACGGTTTTCGTTGGGTGTTTGGTCAATGTTGCAAGAAAGCAAATATGCAGTCATGATATGACTGTTACACTCACACTTACTCACTCACTTTCCGATTTATCGTCTGTTGTTCCCCGTCTTCCGAGGGTTAGACGTGCTTGCACTGACAACTGGGGCTTGATGGCACCCCGCCACTTGTCTCTGTCCTGTGGGTTGATCTTGTCTTGGTAAGTTAAATTATAGTGCCTGATAGTTTTGATGGAAGCAATAGAAACATTTCAAGGCGAACAACTTAATTTTTGGGGAGCATGTGCTCCCAACATGGCAGCAGGGATGTTTTGCATCTAGTCTTAGAGGCAACATCCAGGGATTCAGCACCAAGGACAGGGAATTGATTCCGCTGGCCACTTTGCAGCCACGTCTTACTTTGAACTTAAATTACCGTGTGGCGTGAGAGATTGGACCCACGCTGTGTTTTTATCAAGTAACCTATGGTTTCTGTATCTGTATCAGTATCAGTATAGCCGGTATAACCGCCCTTCGGCGTAACACACCAGCTTCGCAGGCACGCGGCGCGGCGGCAGCTGGCTATATCACACCGAACGACTTGTTACACTCAATCTTTGCACATTTAATTGCAGGAGTTGTTAAAGCTTTGGTTGACATGGTTGCTATGGTTGGCAGTAATTTCCCCGGGCTCCGCTCCTTTTTATCTATCGCACACCGGGACGTTTCTCTCTATTATCCACATGCTCGGCGTGTTCTTTGATGTTCTTAAGCTTTGAGCTTTCTAGCTTCGATGCCAGCCTTTTTGACTTTAGTACGCTCTCTCAGCCCCTTCAAAAGATAAAAAGACTGACATCCAGGCTAGAGATTTACAGCTTGACCACATCAAAGAACCCAGGCAGATCGAATCACCGAACCGCAACTGGTAAATTAGGCTTCAAGCTCGCAACCTTTTGATTCGTTATAAGCGCTAGGGCACCACTCGCAATGAAATATCACTGAGAGCGACTTGGATAATCACAATTGAAAAGCAGCAACGAGCGCTTGATTGTGCTTTGAATCTTCTCTGAATAAGAACTGATTAGAAACGAACATGTAACCTCTTGATCGAGGGGCATGACAAATACTAGAGTGCAATACTAGAGGTCTGTCCTTCACCGACTCCTATTGGGAGTAAATGTCATAAACAGCATCGTCGCATGTGAAGCACCATTGAACAAGCAGTAACGTGCCCTCGAGTGGGCTTTGAATCTTTTTTTATGTAAGACCAAATTAGAGCATTCGACTGGAAGATTTGGGCATGCTTCAGCCTTTGTTTGATAGACCTTCCTTCACCCACTATTATTGAGAGCGAATGTCATAAGCAGCATCGACAAAGCAGTAACAAATTCTGAAAATGTCTCGATATCGGTGTTTTAAATCTTTTTACTAAGAACAAATGAGAAAATTCGACTGGAAGATTTGGGCACGCTTCAGCCATTGTTTGATAAACCGTCCTTCACCGACTATTATTGAGAACGAATGCAATAAGCAACATCGTCGCATGTGAAACACCATCGACAAAGCAGTAACGAATCCTAAAAATGTCTCGATATCGGTATTTTAAATCTTTTTTGAATAAGAACAAATGAGAAAATTCCACGGGGGATTTGCATACGCTTCGGCCTTGCTTTGAATTCTTTTTTGAAAAGGCTGGAATGAACTGGACCCATCCTGCTCTAGCTGTCAACATGTTTTTCTACCACCTTTGATGTCAGCATTTGCTCCAAGCTACAGCGATGTGATATCCGCAATCATATGTGGATTATACCGGCATATCACAGAACTGCACAGCGTGCAATTGGCAAGGCTTCCGTCTCAATGAAACCATCTCAGATACTGCAATCAAGTCTTGCAACAGCTTTCCAACTACTTGAAAGCGACTGAAGCCGGTTGCCACTGGTTACCATGAATCCCATGTTTTAATACTGACGAACGTTGGCTTCAAACTACATTAACATGTTGCTAACTCAGAAGAAGACAGCTGGGCTTCTTCAAACACAAAAAAGCATACTTATCTCTAGATGGTGTTTCAAATTTATATTTTCGTAACAGTTATCAAGCTTCAAGTACATCATTTAGTTACTGAGTTGGAGCAGCGTTCTACAGTTTTAAAACGTTGGGCGTATGAGTGCTCATTGGTCATTAAGATCTTTGTTCTTTGTAAAAGTCTCCACATGCAAATTTGCCCTGAAGCTATGTGTATGGTATACTGTATATTGTTGTCTGCAAGCCTATCTCTTTGTGCTAGTCTTACAAGTCTGATAGTCTTACTAGTCTGTCAAGTCTGATAGCCCTGGCTTTATACATCAGAATCCTTGAAAGGTTGGCGCTAGGATCTGGAGTATTTCTTCTACGCTTGCAGGTACGCGGCCAGACAAACGGACTGGCCTTTGCAGTCATCTTTCAAACCAAAATCGCTTTAACGTTTCTCTCTCTTATTACGACCAATTTGCTCGACAGACATACGCCAGATTCCATCCTTGACATTTCAATTTTAACCAGAGATGGTCACTGTAGAAACACCATCAAAGCAGCAACAAATCCTGAAAATACTTTGAACCCAAATTGCTTTAACGTCTCTCTCTGTTATAACGGCCAACTTGCAAGCCCGGCACACGGCAGTTTCCAGCCTTCATCGTCCTCGACCTTAAAAGTGAGACCAGAGGTGGTTACTGCCCAAACACCATTATCAAAGCAGTAACCAACCATGAAAATGCTTTGAACTAAAATTGCTTTAACGTGTCTCTCTTATTACGACCAAATTTCTTGCTGGGCGCAATGCAGATTCCAGCCTTTCATTTCGTCCTAGACCTTTAAAGACAGACCAGAGGTAGTTACTGTTGTAAAATCGCTCATCCGTCACATTAAGCGTATTTACACAGCGTGGGTTCAATACCTTACAACGTAGGGTATAATTTGAATTCAAACTAAGACGTGTCTGCAAAGTGGCCAGCGGCAACATCGCCCTGTCCTTGGTGCTGAATCCCAGGATGTTGCCTTTAAGACTAGAGGCAAAACATCCCTGCTAACATTTTGGGAGCATATGCTCCTCAAAAATTAAGTCGCGCACCTTGAAATGTTTCTATTGCTTCCATCACACTGCACACTTGAGCCGTGCCGTTAGGTGTCAGAACCTGAATGTTAGCAACCTGATCACCCTTATTGATTTCTACATAGCCCGCAGTTCTACGTGTACAGTTTTCATGTTATTTAGTTCTGTTGCTATGTAGTCTATGTTACCTGCACAATTGGGAGCTGCACTTCAAATTCCTTTGCTCCATCAGGGTCTTTCTACGTGTTGATCAATAAAGTGTCCTTAACCTTCTTCGCCACGTGTTGTTTTGTGCATCAGTTATTTGATTCGTAATTTCTCTAATTTGTCATTATCTACACCTTTTATCACCTAGCTTGGTGACGTACTTAGTAGATGAGCTAGCTCAGTGACGTACATATGCGTTTCCTGTTTTTGCTTCTCTTTTCCTTGGGCAGTTTTGGACAATTTAAGTGGTAACTTCTTTAATATGTTATTACATGCTCCATGAATCTCCAGTAGTTGGGCTAGCTCAGTGACGTACATGCGAAACCAAATCACACTTCATGGCCAGAGGGGTTGTAACCAACAGACTTTTCATTTCCTTTACTTCGAGACCTTCAGGGCATCGGAAATAAGACATGTAAATGGCGCAAGCAGCCAACACCCACACTTTGAGACATTAGTACAGGCGATGGCCATAATGTTTAATTCAAGATTTTTGATGAACTTTTATTTTAATGATTGATAATGTGTGCAGCATCATGTGAAAATCTGACAGACTTTATGTCGCATGTCATTTATGTATATGTGGCATGCCAGTCAATCTTTAAATAAAACTGATATACTGATACTAAGTACACAACATAGTTAATCCTTGTTTCATCTGGCTAAGATTTTAAGATGACAATGCCATTAATGAATTTTCTTGCATAATCCTCTCCGTACTGACGGTCGCATACGCTCTCCCTAGCATCCGTCAAAACAAAATACAACAGGATATCTGAAATGACAGGGTGGGATAAGACATATAATGTCATGTAATCGGATGCCTACGTACGTCATTGTTAAAACATGGGATTTGTGGTAACCAGGGGCAACCGGCTAGATCCGCTATCAAGCAGTTGGAAAAATAATGTACGACTTGATTGTGGTGTGACGTGTGTGGAATGTTTCCTTGGGACGGAAAACAATTTCCCGCTGTTCTGTGGTATTCCGGTGTAATCTGCATGTAATTGCGGCTATCACATCGCTCTCGCTTGGAGCGAATAATGACATCGAAAATATAAAATCTGCGTCACATTTGAAGCACCATCTAGAGTTAGGTATGCTTTTCTTGGGTCCCATGCATCTGTTGGAAGAAGCCCAAAAGCCTCCTTCTGAGTTAGCAACATGTTAATGTAGTTTTAAGCCAACGTTCGTCAGTATTAAAACATGGGATTCGTGGTAACCAGGGGCAACCGACTTCAGTTGACTTCAAGTAGTTGTAAAGCTGCTGCAAGACTTGATTGCAGTGTCTGAGATGGTTTCCTTGAGACGGAAGCCTTGTCAATTGCACGCTGCGTAGTTCTGTGATATGCCGGTATAATCCACATATGATTGTAGCTATCGCATAGCTGTCGCTTGGAGCGAAATATGACACCAAAGAGGTGGTACAAAATATGTTGACAGCTAGAGCAGGCAGGGTCCAGTTCATTCCAGTCTTTTCAAGAAAGAATTCCAAACACAGTCGGAGCGTGTGCAAATCTCCCAGTCTAATTTTCTAATTTGTTCTTATGCAGTTCAATTCAAAACAGAATCAAACGGTAGATAGCATGTTTCCCTACTTCAGTCAATAAAGGATGCACTTGAAGCCTGATAACTGTTACGAAAATATGAAACGTACGTCACATCTGAAGCATCAGCTTGTGTCAAGTATGTTGTTCTTGGGTCCCATCTGTTAAAAGAAGCCCAGCTGTCTTCTGATGTTAAGAGGGAATTAAGGCAGTTAAGAGGTCCAGTTTCCTGTTTTTGGTGCTGAATCTGCATAATGGTGAAGTGGTCTCGGAAAAGATCCACCTCGTATTTACCCCTGCTGTCTAATTGCTCCTAGATGTGCTGTACGTTTGCTGAAGTGCAGGTGGGGAGTGTTCATTTACACAAATCACAGGTATTATACTAAGGCGCAATTTAGCCTGATGAACACCTGAGCAATCGGCCCAGAGCTGTACCTTACCTTGACCCGTTCTTATGCATGGTAAAATGCACACCTGGGTGGAGTGATGGAAATGTAGAATACACTTTCAAAAGACACAAAGTCAAGACAGGCATTGAACCCACATCTCCAGCCTACCCACTATTTTTGTCCAAAGTTTCAGTGACATATAACCTTGTACAGAATATCTATGACGCATATAGCAAACAGAAGTGCAGTAATTGTATAGTTAGACTTGGCCAACAAAGCATCCTAGCTAATTTTCCCATCTACGTTGATTGATTGAAAACCCATTCAAAACCGCTCACATATTGTTGAAGGATCTATTTTCTTCAAAGGTTTCAGATACGTCCAAATGCCTCATACAAAATTGAAAAATGTCTCTGACGCAATTGAGATGGACACGGAACACGTCAATCCCCATTTCTCCATTGTTCCATGTAGTTAAGCTGTTTTCAAGCAACTTCAAGGGCCTTTTACATATGGCAGAAGGATACACTTCACCACCTGCGGACCATTATCATGTCCTGACGTGAACCTGAGCTGATGCTAGACTCACGACTTTCTAAAATCTTTATTCAACCTGCGAAGGTAGTACGCGAGGAGCACTGGGCAGCAAATTCAGCTGATGCTGTGCTCCATACATAACAAACATTACATACAGCAATTAGATGCAGGCAAAAATTACATAAAGTACATACAAAAGAGCTGTACAGTGGCGTTATGAAAGACTAATGCCTAAATGGTCAACAGATGACTCACGACTTCGGATGTTACCATGGTAATGGAGCTTCCATGATTTCTCAGACACATTCGGGCAAATACAAGAAATCGAATTTCAAATATTCTAGCCAAATCGCCCATACTAAGTTTCCAAAACTGACGTTTTAATTTTCTTGGGCACGCACGTATCTAGCTTTATTGGTCATGCAGCATATAAGATACCGTTCGTAGATCACTTTAAAAGCTACCCAGGGAGTAGTACAGACTGTATAAATGGTACAGACGCGGAGTGACCAATGTGACCGTCCGCCCAGTGGGTCTCTTTTATGGATGGATTTCCTGGGTGAAAGTATATGGCCTAATCCTTCAAGTAGGTCCGCGAGACGTTATGGACAGGTAATGAAAAAGATGGCTACAAATTGTGCGTCCTTTGGTCGTTGCTTTTGGCAACAAACATCTGGCACCAAATCCCATACATTCTTTTCCATAGGCTAGCCCAGACAGGGATGGCCGTACATAAGATTGAAGCGCATAACTGAAAGGTTGAAACTGCGACAGCAATAGGCGTATATGGTGGTGCCCATTTAGCTTTTAATTGTGCCCTTGGCAACATAATATCTCTGTTAGGATTGGAAACTGTACATTCTACGCAACAAAGACGCTGTTTTGCCAACAAAATAACGTTCGTAGCATATTCAACTGTAAAGTTCATGACAGGGTACATGTATATACTATTCCGCCTCGAAAGATGACGATTTGTGTTGCCACGAAACCTAACCTTTGATCTAACCATTATTACCCTTTAATTTACCACATGCTTTCCCTTGTGACCCTTCATTGCCGGGGGAAATTATGTGTTACTGGGGCGGAACTGGTTCATTTGTCGTCCCAGTGATAACTCGACCAGCAAGCAATGGGGTCATCTACCTCTCTGGGCGAAATCCTGCCCCTGTAGCAGCTACCATAGTGATCTGAGGCAGAAAAAAACATCTGTTTCTTTTGCTTTTCTTGTGTGGAGTCGCGTGCGTAACTGTGGAGTTTTCGCCTCGAAACCAACAGGTCCCAGGTTCGAACCCTGCCATGGCACCGATCTTGTACTCTTGGGAAAGGCACATTACACGAATTTCCCTACTTAAAAGTGAAAATGAGTATGTCTGTTGTCCGTGTGCTTGTCTGCGTTGGTGGAGGCATAAAAATAAGCTGTCGCCATATATTGTGATAAAGGTTGAGATAGAAATGGGAATCATGTAATAAATAGACATTTCTAAACACCCAAACGCCTCCCGTTGCAGATGCCTGGCCGTGACGTCCAGCCTGCGGTCCCGCAAGCCGACCAAGCGGCTCTACATCCCCATCCTGCTCATCTGGCTCGCCTCGCTCCTCCTGGCCATCCCTGATCTCATCTTCTCTGACACCGTGCAGTTCCACTTCGGCGACATCGGCGACGTCTACGACGAGCTGTTTTTCCTCACCGGCGCCGACAACGTGTCCTCCGACGACTCGTACGACTTCCTGTCGCCGTACACTGGCAACTACGCCGGCGTCGACGTCAGAACGTACTGCCGAAGGATGTGGAGCATCGACCAGAAGGTACGGGTGTTTGGTCACAGCTGTAGAACCGGAATCACTTGTTCTTGCATTTGATCGGTTAGTCCTCAGTCTCAGCTGTGAGTCAAGCTTGCCACACAACAAGCCAGTCACTGACGAAAAGTAGTGAAATACCTGACAGTTGCTAGAGTAACAGTTCTTATGCAAGCTTGCCTCAATTATGATGTTCCTGACTTACGGAGAAGAGATGTTGCTCATGTAATCCGTAATCTTAGAGTGGCCTTCGGAATCACACGCTGGAGTGGCCTTCAAGTCTTGTTACGTGTAGACCAATGAGTGGAGACAAATGCTTTCGAGTTTGAATCCCTACTGTTGTTTTTCACCCAGTCTCCATGTTGTCGGCAATGGTTGTATGTATGTTTTACAATTTCAGACCACATGGTCTTTTGCTACATGCCTAACAGCACAGAGTCATTTTAACTTATTGATTTTAGAGTTCCACATCCGCCTGTTTCCTGCTCGTCTAGCTAACTGTTCAAATGATAAGTGTTCACAATCCATAAGCAGAGATCCCTCAGGAGGGTTGTCTCCTCCGCACACGTAGGCTTCGAGGGTGCGCCTAACCAGCCTGGAGGGGTCCATGCGAAGTCCGGCAATGGTTGAAGACCAATTGAAGGAAAGCTCTTTTCCCATTAAGACAAAGTTTTCCTTCCAGGTGGCGTACAGGGCGAAGTCGCTGCTGATCTTCGTGGTCCAGTTCGCGGTGCCGGCCATCATCATGGTGGTCTGCTCCCTCCTGGTGGTCCGCACCGTCTGGTGGCGCAAGATCCCGGGCATCCAGTGCGGCTGGCAGGTCTGTATCTGTATAGCCGGTATACGTATAACCGTCCTTCGGCGTAACGCACCGACTGCATGAATTCTTAACACCTCAATCCTTGGTTGATAATTCTGGTACTTGAAAGCATGGCTATTTCTTGTTCTCTTCTGAGCTGGTATTAGGTACTTAGTAGTTGGTATGTCCATGTGCATTTTATACATCATGCATTTTTCGTCTGTCTTCCAGATCAAGGCCGTGGAGCGGTCCCGACGGAAGAGCTTCCTCCTCGTGATCCTCGTCTTCTCGTTCATCATCTGCTTGGGGCCCTCACACGTCTACGACCTGGTACTTTGAAATTTGTGTTTACCGAAGGAAAAAATATTGTTTTTGCTCAGTTTCTTCCTCTTCTTCTTCTTCTCCAAACAGTAAGGATAATGTTGCAATTTCATGATCTGCTCCGCTCCTGTCACCATACACTAGTAGTACATGTATGTGACTGTGTTTGAGTAAGAATTAACACAGCAGACCATGTCCGAAGGTAAACATTATGCATTTGCTTTTCACATCTTACTTCTCTAGTTTTAAAGACTTATCTCTCGTCTTAAATGCTGTATGCAGGTCCGAGACTATGGAAACGTCCTACAGAAGGAGGTGGCCAACACCATGATGTTCTACGTCTTCGAGGCCGTCGCCATGTCCAACTGTGTCATCAACACCATCGCGTACGTTGCCGTCGACAACAGGATGAGGAAGTACATCAAGAGACTGTTCCTGACCAAGCTGTGCCGGCCGCGCACACCCAACCCCTCGCGAACTCACACCAGGTCCATCTCTTCCTTCAGCTACCGCGGGAGGACGCTCTCCTTCCAGGAGAGGAGGCAGTTCGTGAGGACGATCGAAGGAAGCTCCACCACCAACCTGGCGCTGGACTATTACATCATGATCAAACTGTCCCGCCAGCTGGGGGATCAGTACATTCAGAGGAGGTTGCAGAACGGTTCTAATGTCAGGATTGTGGTGCAGAAGGAGACTGCACTGTAGAAGTATGAATGAGAAGCTATTTTCATGATAAAATCATTTGAAACACAGATTTTAAACCTGTGATAACACTTTCTATGGAACCAATTGTTCTATTATAATTCTGTGCATTAATATTGGCATGAAAATGTTGTTTCTGTTAATTTTACCACAATTAAAGAGGTTAAGGAAAGAAATATCATCTCGGAGAATCCCTCCTTTCAGTGACTTTAAAGACAATTTTCTTGGTACACTACCACGGAATATTCCAGTGGCGGAGTGGCAGTGCGCTTGACTACTACATCATGATCAAACTGTCCCGTCAGCTGGGGGATCAGTACATTCAGAGGAGGTTGCAGAATGGTTCTAATGTCAGGATTGTGGTGCAGAAGGAGACAGCACTGTAGAGAGGAACATGATCTATTTCCATGCAAAAATTCCCAACTTTGTGCATTAATTTCGGCATGAAAATATCGTTAATTTTACCACAATTAATATCATCTCCGAGATCATCACCTTCCAGTGTGAGACACGTTATGTAGAATCAAAAGTTCCATCTATTATCATCTATTTTCATGCAAAAATTCACAACGTTGTGCATTAATTTCGGCATGAAAATATTGTTTCTGTTGATTTTACCACAATTAAGGTTAGGAGAAACGAACATCATGTCGGAGGCTCTGTCAGTGACTCTAGAGACAACAATTTTAGTACACTTTAAGTTAACCTTTTACAATCTTACGTTATACATGTATATATTTCCTCACATATTGTATTATATTCAATTGTCCTTGACCTCTGACCTCCAAAACAATAATTGCTATTATTATCTTGATTGAGTACTTTATTATGCTTGGTTGTATTTTATATTGTTAACTGATTGATTTTAGCTTAATCTTTACTTGTTAGTTTACTGTATTGGTATCTTATATTGTGTATGTTTAATCTTTGTATTGTTTGGCGCCCGAAATCAGCCATGCTGCCTGGGTGGCCAGTGTATTGTATCGTCACAATCGAATTAAAATAAAATAAAAATTTTAGTACGCAAGCCACGAGGTATTCTTCTAGACTGCCATATTACAGAGACATTTCAGTTTGAGCCATATTTATGGTGAAATTCGTATGACTCAATTAATTCATACAGGGCCTCAGAGGACATTATGTATCTGCCATATCTGGTCATGATCAGAGACTTTCCTATCAGTCAAGACCCACCCTATATGGGCACCATATGAGTTTTGATAATGATGTGCATGAGAATAACGCTAAGGAAGGAATAGGGAGATACAGTTGTGTATATTTTTGTAGATACTGAAAAAGTACTAGTTTTATTTAGGATTCATATACATTGTGTTTTGATAATGTTGAATATACATATGTATTTGTTTGAGTTTTGATAAGGATCTTGTGTTTGTCACTTAAACATGGATAGTGACATATAGTTTGGTATTTTCTCGATAATGAGACGTTATGACAAGGATCTATATGTTTTTAATGGGTTTTTATGTATTCATCTATATTGTTAACTATTACATGTTAAACTTTATAAACGTTCATACTACATAACGAGGTAGGTAGATACAAACAAACACACTGCCAAACATATACCCAAAAGTGCCATAATGCGTTGAATAAGCCTTTTTTATGCGATACATTATTGGGTACAAACTCAAACGCATGCCAAACACATACACAAAAGTGCCACCCAGAGTTCAATAGCCTTTCTGTGCAGTGCATCATTGGCCACATTGGTGGTTGAAATTATGAAACCCCTCTTGCAGGCACAACCCAGTGAACATAATATGTATGCCTAGAGAAGCCTGGCTTCAATAATACCTATAACTAACAGCAGTTCGTTACACTACACTACATTAACATTTATAGCTCATATGGACAGGAAGGTTTTAAATCACGCACAGATTGAAATTGGACGTCGTCCCTGGCGACTTTCCAAATATAAGATATATTTATCGGAGTTTATTGACCAGAAACTTTACACACTGAGTGCAACGTTTATTAGTGTTGGAAGATTTGCTTGTATATCATTTTACTATATTTGTACGTGTAATTCTACCTTTATGCTCGTTAAGTTGCGTAGCGTGGAAGAGCCCACTAAATGCATGTGGTTGACTGTATTATGGTATATAAATTGTGTTGATATGATTGTATTAACCTGTTGTATCCTCGCAGAAAGTGGGAATATTGTCTTAGAACATTAATTCTGTTTCATCACAACGTAGTGGTTCAACATTCAGTTTCACTGCACTTATATGTACTAATAATTTTATCTTTAATATGCTTTATAAGCATCATTTATTATTTATATGTATGGAAACTGGTTTCAGTTGATGTATCTTCTGTGAAAAGAGTATACTTGGTTGATGCCACTTCTGATCAAGCTTACCATGAAATGTTGTGAATTGGTCATAATTTAATGGAGAAAGGAATGATTTACCAATAAAGGCATCTTGTGACTGTATATTCTGGCATTGTATTTTATATAAATAATAAGGTAAAGGTAGTCCCGTAGCATTTTTGAGGCTGTGGGTTGAGGCAGTGGGTTGTTAAATCCACTGTCTCTAGAGTTTGGTATTAGAGGGCAGAGCCCATCCACCTCTTTCCACCCCCAACCAATCCCCAAAGTCAGGTACCCATTTTACAACTGGCTGGAGTGAGGGAACTCGCGTTAAGTGCCTTTCCCAAGGACACAACGTCAAGCCATTAATGCAGGGAATAGAACCCGTGACCTCTCGGTTTCCGCTGGTCTAGCCACTCGACCATTCGACGCCACGATGGCTTTTATATACCTTACTGTAAAGCCGAGTTACCATAGTTCACAGAGGCCTTTATCTGTATGTATCGTTTGAAGAAGACAGATGATGATCCAATAACCCTTTGGTTCGAAGCTATCACTGTTCTGACGCAAACCGAGAGTTTGGGGACAAAAAATCAGCCGAGCCATAGTGGTAAATAGCACTTTCCGAGAAAGCCCCATGTCCCTGAAGTAAAACGTAAATGACATTTGCTGCAAACTGAAAACTTATCGTACACCCCCAGCCATGCAGTAAAAACGTCCCAGAAGATGGCTTGGCTTTCCACACACTTGCAGAAAAGTAATCTACATGTCCCAGTAGGTGGCAATATAACCCAACGTCAACTTTATGTTACGCCGAGACATTTCTCGAAAGGTTGAAAGATTAGAGAGGATCCTTTACGGCCACGGAGGGATGCTAACTAGTTGATACGACCGTATTTTCCATATGAAGCAACTCCCAAGGCTCCACGAAAAAGACATCTGTAGTTGCTTTGCGATATCAAACGACTATCATACGTCCCAGACGGATCGCTTTCCGACAGCCGACGTCGACGGATGGCTTGCCACTAATGAAATTATTCCACCATAACGAGGATATAAAGTGCCACAGCTTAAGTACGGCTTGTAGAATTGTCATAGGAATACGTAGTTTTTAAATCAAAGTCAACGCTTTCATATGGATGCACAGGTACTAATTATAGCGTTGCCACTCTGTCTCATAGCAGGGACTCATTGGAAAACAGTGACCCATCCAGGCAAAGGAAAACGGGAATGAATATCTAATATGATATCTGGTACATTTTGTAATTTCTAACATGCGTGATAGTAAGAGTTGAAAGTTTTATGTTATAATGGCTAATTACATAGAACATTGATTAAAGTTAGGCAGCAGTTGGTTGGGGTAGTTCGTATGGTCATGAAGTTTTCAATGAAGGCTCAGAATTAAAAGCTGTGTGGAAATATCAGTCGTGTAATGCAAGGTGAGCCTTGCCCTTGTGAGACTCGCAAGGTGATACCCTGACGTCACACATAATTATCCCACTTAATCTATGCGCCACCCTCACAATAGACACTGTCACACACTCTTGAACCTATAATAAGAGAGCTTGTGAAACTACCGGTACCACGCGGATTGTTGGGCCTGTTGGAATGGCAAGGACGTTTCAACAAAGGGTGAGAATTAGCGTAAAAGCTGATTTCCTAGAAAATGTCAGTCAAGTGACACAGGGTGAGACTTGCAAGACGATACTGTCACATCAAACATGATTATCCCGCTTAGTCTATGCGCAACCCCCACAATAGACACTGCCACTCCACTTGAACCTATTAGAGAGCTTGTGAAACTACCACATGGATTGTTGGCTCTGTTGGAATGGCAAGGACGTTTTTAGGCCGAGTATTAGCGTAAAAGCTGTTTATTGCAGAAAATGTTAATCTAGTGACACAGGGTGACACTTGAAAGGCAATACTGTCACGTCACCCAAGAGTATCCGCTTAATCTACATGTATGCGCCACCCCACAATAGACACCAATTGAACTCATTCGAGAGCTACCTTGTTAAACTACTACACAGACCATCTGCTCTCTTGGGAATACCACTGATGTTTTAGCGAAGACCAAGAATTAAGATAAAAGCTAAAACATTAGTCTTATGACGCAAGATGGTGTTAAGAACGTCACTCTTAATCATCCCGCTTAATTCACGCCTCCCGTACAATTGACACCAATTAAACCTATTAGAGAGCTTGTGAAACCACCGCACACGCTGTAGTGTACAAGTCCAGCCTGTGGGGCATACCAAAAGTCAAGAATTAGGATAAAAGCTGTTTTTGCAAAAATATAAGCCTTCTGACGCAAGGTGGTGTAAAGAACGTCACTCTTAATCACCCCGCCTAATTCACGTCACCCCTGCAAATGACACCAATTAAACCTATTAGAGAACATGTTAAACCACCACATAGGCTGTCTAGCCTGTGGGGAATACCAAAGGCGTTTTAACGAAGACCTAGACTTAACTTAACTTAAGATAAAAGCTGTTTTGCAGAAACATTAGTCTTATGACGCAAGGCGGTATGGTGTAACGGCGTCACTCTCGTTTAATGTACACCACCCCTACATTTTTTTTAAATATTCCAACATGTAATGACAAGACGTGGTGACGGCACACTCAAGTTTTTTTCAACTTATATTAATGCCGCCACCAACACA